TATTATAAGCTTTAAAATCTTTATAATTTTTATTATTAAGTCTTGATCTTTAAGTAAAAAACTCAAAATTACTTTAACTTCTGATTATTTTAAAGTTAATTTGAGAAGTTATCAAGTATTAAAAATATAAATATCTTGCTAAAATTATCAAATTTAGTAATATTCAAATATAGAATAATTGATAATAAATAGTATAATAAAGAAAATATCTTTTTAATCTTGTATACTAATTATATTTGTATTATTTTCTGAATACTTTTATTTTAACTTTATTTTTCTGATAATTATTTAATATTTACTGATTTATTACTTTTATTAATTAATATTACAATAATTAAAACCTTACTTCTTTTTTAGAATATTTTATTAATTAAAATTATTTATTATTCCTGATCATTATAAAAGCATTTAATAACTTGAAAAATTAAATAATAATAAAGAGTAAAATTAATATTAGAGAAAGTTCAGATAATCTTTTTTTTAAAGTTAATCAAAGATAATTTTATTTGATTAAGATAAAATTTTTCACTTTTCATAATTTTTAGTAATAGTAATTTTTTCAGATTATTATGCTTATTAAAGAATTTAATTATTTTATTTCTGATCTTATTCAAAATATTATTTTTTATTACTAATTTCATGAAGTTGTGATAAGTATAATTAAACTATTATATTAAGCATTTCAATTTAATTTTTTCTTTAATAATCTCTAAAATATTATTCAAAGTTATATCTTAAAGATCTTTAAAATTAAAGCTAATATCAGTATCTACTAGTAGTAATTCTTTAAAACTTTCTTTTAAAATCTCTTTAGTAATCTTTATAAATAATATTATTTCTTCTTTAGCATCTAGTAATAATACTATTTTTTCTTTAATATCTAGTAATAATGTTATTTTTTCTTTAACATTTAGAGATAATATCATTATTTTATTGTATTCTAGAAATATTATTGAAAGAGATAATCTTGTAATTGGCATACTCTATAAATTTACATCATATTCTAATTTTTATATTAACTGAGATAGTTGTGATTTTTATAAGATATAACCTATTAGTTGAGAAATAGTTCTTCTTTTATAATATACTATATTAGTATGCTATGTTAGTCTACTAAAAGTTGTAAAATATTATTTGCAAATTTGACAATGATACTTAGCCATTGAATAATGAATTTTTAATTAGAAGTTAAGTAAATTTATTTTATATATTAATTATTGTTATTTTGATATTTTGAAGAAGAATAAAACTTTGATATATTTTCAAGTATAGAAACCTTTCTAAATATATTTCAAAAACTGATCTCTGAATTTCTTGTGATATAATTAGCGAGGTTTTTCTGTATTTTAGAGATATTATCATCATTGATAAATAAAAGAAGTATAGCAGTTTTTTTATATATAAATACTAATAATTTATTAAAGTTACATAGATAATGACTAACATTATAATATTAATACATTAGATTTCTTAATATATTAATTCTTTTATCTGTAAAAGCTCTTTTATTGTGAATAAACTAAATTTTTCTTTCCTTTGGTTATTTTCAGACCTTATGTACAAGTAGTGAATGAATGACCTTCACTCAAAATAATCCATAAATCACATTTGATTATGTTGGCGGAAACCTTCGATTTTGAACGTTTGTAGTTTTTGGTTAACTGAAACCATCTGGATCGTTACTCCCGAAGTAACCTTTGTGACGTGCGTTATTGTTTTGTAGATGATCAGAAACCTTCTCGAAATCCCTTTGTAGTAGAGTAAACTCTTTTTGTTGCTGGTAATCAGAAACCTTCTTTGATTCCCCTCTAAATTAGATAGTAAACATTCAGTCTTGCTCTTAAACTTATCTTGTTGCATTTGCCCTCTAATTCTAGAAGTGCGCAACATTATTTTGGTAAAGATAATCATCATACGTTAATTTTTATAGAAACCGCTTTTATTATTGACATTCGCTACATACTAATTGTTATAAAAGGGAGCCACCCAACATCCCGACAATCTTAGCTTACGACAATCCAATTTCCCGACAATCCAGCTTCCCAAAATCTAACACCCTGACAAAGTTAACTTCCCGACAACCCAACTTCCCGACATGATTTTAAATGAAGATCCTTATTCTATCATTGATGCTAAATGTTAATAAATACTAGTGGTCAATCCCCATAAAAAACAGAAATTGGACTAGTTTGTCAGGAAGTTATATTTGTCGGTAAGTTTGGAAATTGGATTGTCGGGAAGTTAGGTGATGTCGAGAAGTTAGATTGTCGAGAAGTTGGGTTGTTGGGAAGTTATGTTGTCGACTGTGGTTTGTTGGAATGTTGGATTGTCGGAAAAATGGGTATCAGGATGTTGGAGATAGACTCATTGTAAAAACTGTAATGATGTTGACCATCCAAATTTAATCGCGATTTTCATGTCAAGGAAAAATTAAGGAATTACAGGATTTACTGTTACTTCGGTAACACTAACATATTTTTATCAGTTTAGGAATAAAGATGTCTCAACAGCTGTTTACAAAAGTGAATTCCATGAGATCCCCAATTTTAAATTTCTAATCGTACAATCCAGATGTTATTATTGCAAAAAGGTGTGACCCCGTGATTTTCATGATGATGATGGCAGAAAATCTCTAAGATTCTAAATAGAGAATCTAAATTTAGAATCTATGTAAATTTATATAATAAATTATGCTTTCAATCATAGTTTCAATCAGTGATCAGGTGAAAAAACATTATTGATCATTATGAAAACTATTACATAATTTGACATTTGTTTTTCTTGATAAACATACTATTTTTTTTAACAGACCTTGTATTTATTTCAGAATAACCATATTCTCGAGAAATAGTTCATTCATCCTTGGATGATTGTCTAGAAAGGCTAGTCAATTACTTTAGTATTGGGAATTAATACGTGCCATAAAGGCACTAAGAAGTAGTTCATTACGTTCTTTTGCTGCTTTATGCAGCTAAAAATAAAGTATTAAATAAGAAGTTGTATTATTATTATGCTTATATGAATTAAGTTATATAAATAAAACATAAATACTTTTTGCTATTCTAATGAATGCCACATAGTAGAAATTAGGCATTTTTGCTGCACTGAATTTCAATTTGCGAAACAATTTCATTGAAATTTATAAATCCACATTTTCTTGAATAATGTTTGGTAGTATCTAATACAAATTTCAGAAGAATTACTAAAATATATAAGATACCTTATGCATAATAAAAATCTTTGTACCTATATTTATGTCATTTCGATTGAATGTTTTATGCTGTCCAGGTACTTGTCGCCAGGGATTTGTTATAGTTCTCTATTTTTATATAGCTGTAATACTTTTTTTATCAAACCTTTGCTAATTTGCAATTTGTGATATTAAGTCATCATAGTGTAGACAAATTATAATTGTCAGAATCCCATGATTTCACATGACGTATTGAACTGCGGAGATCACACCATTTTGCAAACCACGATAATACTATAGTAATTTCCATAATGTTAAAGAGAAATTATTTTAAGCAGAATCAACTTTATGTTCTTAATGCATTTAATTAAACGTCCATATTCTTTAATACATTTAATACATAGATCATATCGAGATGTTTGTACTTAATTCATGTACATATCAGTATATTTGGGAATTTTATTCTCGAAAATTTTAAGTATTTGCACGTTCATTAAGTTACATGTAGCTATAGATGTAAAGAGATCTAATTTTTTCTAGAACATGTACATGTATCATGTATGAAAAAGCTAAATTTAAATAAGATATTTGTACGCTTTATGAATTTTGCCTATTTCGTCATGTGTATTAATAAAATTTTTGGTCGTCAATTGCGCCCTTATGCTTTTTCATGTTTTATTTGACGCGAAAAGGAAGTTTAAATACCAAATAGCTTCTAGAATTGTTGCCGTCTCATCTGTAAATTCCGTGATTACAAAAATTCTGGAACGATGCAAAATCTTAATCTTGTATCCCTAATTAGTTCAACTGAGCAAAATCCCACGAAATTCATACAAAAATTCTTTACTTCATAATATTAATATTAACACTGCCTCTCCCAATAATAAGAATTCTCACAAAAATTCTTTGCGCTCACAAGAACATGATTATCATTAGAAATTTCATACAATGATCTCATGGTACTTTATTTCTTTGATTCATAGCAATGATTACATAATCCTTAAAATTCACATTTTATATCTGTATATAATAACTCTATTCTATTTTTATCCCTGTCTCGAAACATAATCATGCTTTTTTGTGTATGCCCGCAAATTTTGTATAGGCTTAACAAAATCGAAGGCTTTACTGCTTTGGCCATACAAATTGATAGATCGCATTAAATTCTTTGATATCGGTATTATTATTTTTGTAATTGTCTTATTATTTAATATTGATAATATCATTTTGGTATTGAATTTATTATTTTGATATTATTTCGATACTTTAAATATTGGTTTTTATTATTTTGCTGCGAATTCCTATTATTGTTTGGAATAGTTATATATTTTTTATTTATGCTGGATATTCTTCGATTGCATTAGTAAATCCAACTTCGAATTGAATAAATTATGATTATGACAAATCTTGCGTTCCAACTTAATATTTAAAGTTAGTAATTAGAATGAGATAAACCTAATTTAGAGATCGACTTTGTGAACAACGAAAATGAGAAAGTGAATGGCTTTTCTTCATTATCTAAGAAACCACAAAATGAGCTTATGACTTTGGAGCCATATTGTATAAGCAATTATTAGTTAAACACATGCTCCAGTGGTATTTCACTTTTGATCACTGTATATTTAGAATTTTTTCCTTAAAAATATATTTTATTCAACTTTGAGATGAGCACAGACACATTCTCAGAAATTTTACAGAGTATGATACGGTTAAAAAATAAATAATAAAATAAAAAAATAAACTTTTAAAGTTCGATCTCTTATAGTGCCGTCATATGATTCATGTACTGATAAGATCTAATAAAAAAAATTTAAACCATAATGACCGGGGCTGTTCCAAGAATGTAATCGCTATTTTCGGAGCCTGAATTGTCGATCGCCACCAAACAAGTAAGCTGATTGAATCCATTTAAGGTTCCACCAACTACTAAGGGGGTAATCCATTTTGAAAAAGGCACGCCTAAAGTAACAATAGTGTCGAGATCTAAGTGTATATTACCGTAATTAGTTGGTTCGACGACATGGACATCTAAGTTTGGTGGACTCACGACATCATCACAATTTTCACAGCAAGCCTTGGCTTTAGTTATATAACCGGTGGCTTTTATGGAACAATTTTTAAATTGTTGAAACTGAATTTGACCAAGTATTCGTTGATGTTTATCGCATCTTGCAGGTATAAAGTTACAATAATCGAGTATACAATCGCAGCATTGCTTGGGCTTCGGTTCGCAGCATGGCGTCTCTACTCCTCCTCTTTTTACTTTAGACGGATCATCTCTTATAATTGGATAATCATCGCAGCAGCAGTCATCTTTGGGGTGGGGGTGCGGGTTTGGGTGTGGGTGTGGTGGTATAATACCGCCAGCATTGACCGATGGAGAGAGAATAAAGATTAGAACAACCAAGAAAAATAAGAGCGAGATTTGTTTGTTCATTTTTGTTTAATAAAATTATTGGATTTTGTTGCTTTCCAATGTTGGGAAAGAGTCCAAATCGTTCGCGTTTTTATAGATGTTGGAAAAAAGAGATATTTATCTTTTTGGAACTAAAGATGTATTATTCTCCATTAACATATCTTGGCATCAGTTTGGGTTTGTCATTTACATATTTCTCAACAGCTGCTTACAAAAATAATTTTCACTAGTGAATTCTATGAGATTTCCTATTTTAAATTTCGAGTTGTTCAATCCAATGCATTAATAGTTTAATTAAAGAAATTTTCATAATGTTAAGTGGAAATCATTTTTAGCAGAATCAATATTATGCTCTAATGCATAAAATTAATAGTCCTTAATGATATATTCTTTAATACATTAATATTAATTCCTAGACCATATCGAGATTGCTTTAATTAATTCATGAGTGCATATCGGTATATTTGGGAATTTTATTCTCGAAACTTTTAGTATTTACACGTTCATTAAGTTACTTATATGTTCAAATTTAATTAGCTATAGATGTAAAGATATAATTTTTTCTAGTATGAAAAAACCAAATATAAATAAGATCATCAAGCAATTTTTGTACGCTTATGAATTTTGCCTATTTCGTCACATCTTCATTGTCGTATGCATTAATATAATGGTTGGTCGTCAATTGCGCCCCTATGCTTCAACTTGCTTTTGTTTATTTGACGCGAAAAGACCATCACAACGAGAAATCTCATTATTCTGGAACGTTGCGAGATCTTAATCTTGTCTCCCTGATTAGGAACGTGTCACGCAAACTTAAAAAAGTTTTTCCTATTGTCCCGTATCATCAGAACAAAATTCCGCGTAATTCATGCAAAAATTCTTTGTAATATCATTTTATATTCTTGCAAAATTCTTTGTGCTCACAAGAATGTGATTATCAGAAATTTCAAACAAAAGATCTTATCGAATGTTGTTTCTTTGATTCATAGAAATGACTACATTTTTCTTATTAATTTCACAATATACATTCTACGTTATTCTATTTTTTTATCATTACATTATATTTATTATATTACTTATCTTGAAGCATAGTCATGCACGAAAATTCCGAAAATGGAAGCAGCTGTAATGGCAAGTAACTGTCCCTTATCGAATAGTAATTGTTGAATAGATTATGCCCAAATGGCCTCTCCTAAATACTTACAAAAAATTCATATTATGTACTATATATCCACGAACTTTGTATGTAATCTAGATAGCTATATAGTAACCAAATAGTTCTCGAATGTCTGAGAGACAGGCAAAGTTTTGCTTAAGAAAATAACTAAATAAAAATTATTTTTAACTCTTACTAACTACGTCTCGGTTTTTATTTCTTTTGTGTCATAGCAAAATTGATAATTTTGTTCCTTTTGTGCTTAACAAAATCGAAGACTTTGCTGCTTTGGCCCTACAAATTGATGGATCGCGTTTGATTGATATTATTATTTTTGGCTTTAATATCATCATTATACTTTAAATATTGGTTTTTATTATTATTTGATGCCAATTTTGTTATCCTAAATATTGGTTTCTATTATTTTATTGCAAGTTTCTATTATTGTTTTGGAATAGTTATATAATTTGTTATTTATGCTTCAATTGTATTAGTAAATTTTATTTCTTTGAATTAAAACTTTATTTCGAACTTTACATTTGCCTTTGAATTGCATAATCTCTGTCGAAGATTGGTACAGAAGACCGTGAGCTCCCCCACTTCATTAGGGCGTCGACTAATAAATTAAAGTATAGTTATCGTTAATTGTGGAATCAGCTATGGTATACGGTTAATAATTTAAAAGTAAAATGTACTATTTTAGGCACATTTTGAGCTAATGAGAATAAATTTATGAGAAATTTTTTATTTAATGGAGGTGTTCAAAACTCATTTCACGAAGTAGAGTCCATTTTTTCATTGAAATATGAAAATTCATAATAATATAAAATTATTATAATTTAAAAGAAGAGCTTTATTACACAAAAAAGTGGTTTTGAGCAACACATTAAAAAATAAAACCATGAATTATTTCTCATTGCCTAAGAAGTGCACCTAAAAAGGGACAGTTTACTGAGCGATAGTATAATAAAAATCTAAGAAATTTGTCAATATATTATAATGATGCAAATTTCGTGTTCCAACTTAATATTTAAAGCTGGTAATTAGAATCAGACAAAAACTCAATCTAGAAATCGACTTTTGGGACAACGAAAATGAGAAAGTGAAAAGCTTTTCTTCATAATCCAAAAGACCATCAAATGAGTTTTATGAATTATTCACCGAGACCCCGACTTTGGAGCCAAAACATACTTCAATATTGCATGAGCAATTAGTAAAGAGCCCTAACAAAATATTATAAACACTTTTTAAATATTATATATCAAACTAAATAAGCAAAGTATTAAGATAAAAAAATTTTGAATTCTTGAAATGTGTTATCTCAGATACTCTGTGATCGAAATTCTGCAAAATTAGAAGTCGTATTACGACAAAATTTTAATATAAATTAGCGATCAGTGACTTTTTCTTGCGACACCATATTCTCATGAGATTACGATTATCATGTGATAAAACATCGCACACAAAAGTCACGCTACATCAAATCAATTACGTATTTGAATTTTAATTGCGACATCTCGATACCCAACGATCGGGCATCGCACAAAATCGATTTTACTTGTTATGGTGAATCAAATGTGTCAATTTTGATGTGATTCCAATCACTGGATATCGAGATAACACATATTTTTCTTAATAATACTCTCTTTTTAATTTTCATGAAAAATTTTTTGTATAAAAACTAAGCTTTTCAAAGAATTTCAATTTTTTATTTTTTATTTTTTTAATATTTTACTTTAGTTCGATATTTAAAATTTAAAAGTGTCTGTAATATTCTGCTAGGACTCTGTAATTAAACACATATATTAGTGGTGATTCACTTTTGAACACTGTATATTTAGAATTTTTCTTAAATATATTTATTTATTTCGAGATTACAGACACACTTCTCGAAAATTTACAGAGTATGATACGTTTAAAAAATAAATAATAAAATAAAATAAAAAAATAAACTTTTAAAATTGATCTCTTATAGTGCCGTCATATGATTTATCTACTGATAAGATCTAATAGAAAAGTTTTAAACCATAATGACCGGGGCTGTTCCAAGAACGTAATCTTGATTTTCGTCGGCCGAAGTATCGATCGCTACCACACAAGTAAGCTGATTGAATCCATTTAAGGTTCCACCTATTAGGGGGGTAACCGGGCTTGAAAAAGGCACGCCTAAAGTAACAATACTGTCGAGATCTAAATGTATTATATTGTAATCTTTTGGGTTGACGACATGGACATCTAAGTTTGGTGGACTCACGACGTCATCACAATTTTCACAGCAAGCCTTGGCTTTGGTTAGAT